CGCCCCCATTTCACTCCCCACCTACCCTCTTCTTTCTTCTCTTCCTCTCCTCCATCTTCTTTTTCTTCCTTCGCTTTCCCACCTCCGTCCTTTCAGCTTACTTCTTCTCTCACCCCTTCTTCGTCTCCTTCTACTTCTTCGCTGTTATTTCTTCTTCTTTCTGAACGGCCCTACAAAGATCGTTGGTCTTTAAAACCCACACACACGACTTCGGCAGATCATTCCAGGGGTGTGTGTGGGGATATTATTTGCTAATATCACAATAAAATATAAGCCCGACAAGGACCATTTTCCACGGCTTAAGACGTCAGCATAGTAAAATCTATTCCTTTCTGGCTAACGAACATTGCCGTACGGGGCCTTTGAAGCATGCACTGTCATACTAACTAGATAGCACGGACGTGTTCATTTCAGTATTACACACACGTTGTTCATCACTTATAAGTCAAGTTTGTTATATATGCATGTTTGTGTATGGATAATTTATTGTTTGATATTGGTATTATGTGGTAAAGGGTTGCTACAGATTTGTGCATCTTTATTACCTCTTCTCCTCCACTCTCTCTCTCCCTCTCTCTCTGTCTATCTCTGTCGCTCCACACACACACACACACACACACACACACACACACACACACACACACATATATATATATATATATATATATATATATATATATATATATATATATCCCTCCCTGTCATTCTCACTGACATTACTTATTTGTTGTCACTGTCTCTCTCTTTTCTCCTGTTCCTCTTTCTTTCTGTCTCTCTCTCTCTTTCTGCCTCTCCCTCTCTCTCTTCTCTCTCTCTCTCTCTCTCTCTCTCTCTCTCTCTCTCTCTCTCTCCGCAACAGTTATGAAGGTGTTTCTTCGGCTGAGTGTGTCTTATCCCCCGCGTTTCGACACAGTTGGTCAGATGTTATGCCTGAGGAAACCCGTCAATGTAACCTTCTGACAAACCTAGAAACGATACTACCAGACCTGTCGTGGGAGCGACATCATGCCATATTCTCATACAAGTGGAAGATTAATTAGTTAATGGCATCTTGTTGAACTGTTGCAACGCCAGACACCACCATGGATGCTCGAGAATACCGACTGACGACATTGCATGCTTGAACACTCACCCACAAAGACAATAGCTAGGACCACTTACTGAGCACGGAGTCACCTGCTACACCTCCCTACGACATCTGACAGCAGAAAATAGAAGTTGTTGATGATGATGATTATGATGATGATGATGATGATACTGCTGATGATAATGATGATGATGATGATGATGGTCATGATCTGCTTCGATTTCTTTCTTTTTTTCGCAATCCGCGCCTGTAAACTCCAGTGGAAAGTTCTCGTTGTTCACCTACCTCAAAGACTTTAGCCTTTCTACAAAACTTGAGTTTTCCGTGCATATCCCTTTTACATATCCCCTTATTTGAATGCAGACTGCGGGTTCCTTGCCTCTCAGGCAGATGCGCTGACTTCGATTAAAACATCCCTAACTAGTCTACTCTTATAATATGCTTGTATGGGGCAATGGGTCAGTTCTGTGAGCACCATAATGAGGTTGTGGATATCACAGAGAGAATAATGTTTCTCTGTTTAGGGCCACAAATCCTAACCGCCTCCCCCAAACCCCTATCTATATCGACCAACCCCCCCCCCCCCCCCCACACACACACACACACACACACAAAACTTACAAACTCAAGGGGCGTCAAATGAGACTGCACACGACGGTCAAAACATTAGAGCCGCGCACGAACTGCTTTTATAAATCTATTCATTGTTTTCCACAGATATCGACGACCCATCCGGCCCAGAACTGGAAGATCTACGGGAAGCAGAGGAGTCCGGTTGGTACGTGCAAGCCCTCAAGGACATGAGTGCCAACATCAGTTTGACAAAGATAAAAGTTCGCGAAGAAGGAGGTTCCCACTGGGCACAAACGGCGGAAATCGAAATCCGTGGACCTGATTGGCTGGGTCAGAATACGGAGCATTTCTTCTCGTTGAGGTGGTTTTTGATCGACTGCAGAAATGCTTATGATTTTGTACCACACTGCTCGCTACCTAGAGACGACTATGGAGCAACGGTGCCCACGAAAGGAACTGACGAGGTGAGAACAAGTTGTGGACATTGTTGCTTATCTTGGCCGAATCAAGCTCATGAGCTATCATGCCTATTCAACTTGCGGCCCGCGGAACAAATCTGGTCCGCAGAAGCGTAGCAAGTGGCCCGCGGATCACCTGACAATTCTACGGTATTAGTGATCTTTCTATGCTGGGGTTCGTGCCAGTTGTCCGCGACGATATGCATTTTCCAAAATTTTAGCCCTGGGTAAACTTGCTTGAATAGTTTTGTTAATTAGTGGAGGGAAATGTTGGTGGATGGAGAATGCATTGATGCGATAGTGGATGCATGAGTGATGAGTTAGTGGATCAACTGATGATAGGATGAATAGGTCATGGAAAATAGTGTGGAGGTTGTGGACATAGGTCTGGATTAAAGACTGAATGGAGGGGTCAACACGCGTATGATGTTGAAATGGTTGGACTAATGGGTAGGAACAAATCAATAGACAGACGGGAGAGAGAACAACACAAACATACCAAAAGCACGAAGAAGATGCCGACAGAAACTGACAAAATGAACAGGGTCACCAGATGGAAGCAATATACATTTTAGGGTGTGTTCCGAGAAAGTAAAAGTGGTATTAGATTGGAGGTACAGTCTAGTTATAAAAGAGAAGACGCAAGAACAAGAGAAAAGATGTTATCCAAGCTTAGTATTATGGCATGGATGAACATCGGAATAATTCTTTTTCTTCTTCGCTTTCACCAACTGAAAACTCTGGCTAAAAGTTCTGGATTTTCATCCACTTCCTGACTGCAGTCGTACTCCAGAACCTGAGTGTTGCATGTGCATCCGTTTTACAGATCTGACTCATTTGTATGCACACTGCTGGCTCCTTGCCTCTCATGCAGATGCAATCAGACTTCGAAGGAAGCTCACAATTAGTCGACTCTTACGACATGCTTCTGAGTAGGCAGTGGGTCTATTCTTGTTTTCCCCACAACAGGGCCCCGGAACCCACAGAAGAAATCAAAACAGAAAACACAAATATTTATAGCAATATATCTAAGAGACGTCCATAGAAAGAAGTGACCAAACCACATTGAATGGACTTGAATAGACAGCGGCCAACAAGAAACCGACTGACAGACAAATACACAGACAGATGCACACATCATTGCCCATTCTCCTCGTGTGGGTTTCGCGGCTCTTTATGTGGCTGTAGGTTAGTTCTACGTTGCTGTCCTCATTTAAACACTCTTACACACTAGCTCACTTCTGATTAGTCGTCCTTCATCCGAGCTCATTTCTGATTGGTCGAACTTGAGCCACGCAAAATCTAGACAAAAGGTAACGGGGTGTTCCGCAATGCCACTGATATCGCGTTTTGTATATTTCAGCATGCCAGCCCTTTTAACACTCCAAAAACATCGGCAAACTAGGCCTAACACAAAACCCCTTAAGAGAGTGATGAAACCTATGTCACAGGCGTTCTCTTCCTGGGAATTAAAACGTAAATGTAAGACAATCTAGAAAGCAAACACCAGAGCGGCACACCAGAGACTAACGTCGAACTAAATGTAGCTGTGTGTGTGTGTGTGTGGGGGGGGGGGGGTGGGGGGGGGGGGGTAACTTACTTTCTCTCAACAAGCATGTCGTAAAAAGTGATTAATTAAAGGTTTCCTAATATTGTATTTTTGGCTGACGTAGCCTATCTGTAAATCGCAACACCATGTATACAAACGTCTCTTAAAAACGAGCGCAGAAGAAGAATATATTCGATGCATCAATTACGAACCCGCCCACATAAATCGTCACATGCGGCACGGCAACAGATCACTGGAAAGTAATCGCATCGTTTCTCGGCTATTTTCGGACAGTGTATTGACCAGTCATTCTACTAGTGCTTCACTAACGATCTGAAACATGTCAAAATAATGTCACAGCCTCCCATCCAAACTTGGATGTTGCACAAATGGCAATGTTCTGCGACTGTCAAACTGTAATCTCCAACGCCAGGTAGTATTTTTTTCTCCGGTCTGTTATTTCTTAAGCCTTTTATGTCAGCGTCCGGGACCGCTGTCAAGTTTCCTTTGCGTGTGAGGTGTCAATTAAAGTGTCAGTTCAGAATAAAATGTGTTAAGATGTACACGAAATGTTTAGGAGATTGCTGGACGGAACTAGCTATTTGCGTGCTTGTCATTAAACTGATTGGGGCAATTTATTTACCTCATTTAACTAACGATTCTCGATAGACGCGACTATCGACTTCAAATTCTGAAACAGTGTGTACACCTCTAGAATGAATGGTGGTTAAATGTTGGCATGGAGTTCGACAAAATATCGGACTCTGTGTCTATATCTTGTCATGGCATAGATAGCTCTTATCATGTCAATTTAATCTGTTGAACGTATATTAATGATGTTAAAATATCCCTTCCTAGACTGGATTGCAGATTACTCGGTACTATTCAAGAAAAGATATAAAACCAAACGAAAAGTATATAAGCAAGCTTCAAAATATAATAAAAACAAACAAAACGTGAACGTTGCGGCTATGGAGCCTTCATCAGCACATACAAATCAAACAAGTACCACACAAATACACAGAATAACTTAGGTGGTATCTCGAAGCAGCCGGGTCGGTGGTTTCTCAGCAGATATCAGCTTGTTCACCCCATCTCATAGGGCGCTATATTTCGTAGGGAATTCCCCGGGACAGTCCTATACTCTAGGGGTGTCCTGACATGCCTTCGTTCGCCGTGTGTATACAACGTGCCAAAACGTGTCTTGGCTTCGTTTGACTGGGTCAACACACTTTCCCACAGGAAAGTACGCAACTTTCTTTTCTCTTAGATGAGAGTCAGCAACTGTCTTTCAAAGGTTACGGTTAGGGTTAGGATTAGATGCTAAAATACTGACAGGTCAGGGAAGTTGACGTAGAAGGCTGAGCCACGAGATAAGAACAGCGCTTCCATTCAGGGCAGAGTAAGGGCGACGAACGAACAAAAAGTATCACATATCGAAAATGAACACGCACTTAACGATAACAACGGTGAAAACACAGAATAACCCCCCCCCCCCCCCACCCCCTTTTCCAATATTCAAGGACGGTCTCTGTGAATTTCCTAAGAAATCTGGCCCCCGACGAAATGGGGTAAAAAGGCTGAATAGCACCCATTACTTTGTAACCGTAGGAGCGCCCTAATATAACAGTTAGTCAGTCAGTCCAGTCAGTCAGTCAGTCAGTCAGTCAGTCAGTCAGTCAGTCAGTCAGTCAGTCAGTCAGTCAGTCAGTCAGTCAGTCAGTCAGTCAGTTAGTTAGTTAGTTAGTTAGTTAGTTAGTTAGTTAGTTAGTTAGTTAGTTAGTTAGTTAGTTAATCAACAGATTATCCTCACTGCACATAAGCGCTCGGATCCCACCTTCAGTATACCCCTCAGCGTGTGGCGACTGATAACACCAGTTCTGTGTTGGTTTACTATTATTCTTTGGCTACCTGTGTAATGTTTATGTTTGGCAATGCCTCTTTTGACATGAAGTTCTTGTTCTTTTGAGTGCTGCCGATTCAATGTCGTCTCCTGAATCATCTTCCAATCCATCCTCTTTGAGAGCATAAAGAATGTCGGCCCGGTCCATTGCTTTTCCTGTACCTACCGTGGCCCTGCCAGCAAGCCAATTCACTCGTTCCTTCCATCTTTCCCCAGAGTGTCCTGGCTCAAAAGCGAAACTAATTCCCATCGAACGAGATTCCCTGGTCTCCAGCCATTTTCTTCGAAACCATCCTATCTCTATCTTCTAATTCGTGTTCTTGGAATTACTTAGAAAGCACACATAGGAAAATTGCGTTTCTCTAGCCACATCTTCCTATTGTTACCACCATCACCTCCATAGTCAGACAACTTGTAGTCAAGGCAAAAGCCCCGCTATCTTCTTTTACAGTTTTCCATCGAACCAGAACCGTGAAAGCCCATGAACTTTGCACCTGTCGAGCGACCTTCCATCAGTGTAGATAAATGCACCTCTTTCAGCAGAATTTTCAAGAATTAGGCTTGAACTTCTGTCTCAACCACCAACGAGCTTTGTTTGCCTTCTCTATCAAGTTTTATGCAGACTGAAGGGGATGTACACCACTCTGCTGGCACTCGTATCGATTCCTCACCAGGTTTTGGGTACTCAGTTGAACAAATTTGTTGAATAATGTCTTCAGCCTGACCTACCCAGGATTTTCCTCTTTTTAAGCTGTTACCCTTCTTCTTGCGAATCTCATTGTGCAATGGATGGTGTATATCGGTACTCATTCGCAGACATGCACATGCTCGGCAGATCACCGTTCTCACTTCCACGGCTGGAATATCAAGGAGTTAACGCATTGCCCTGCATGCTGTATTCTTTATGCGTCCAAGTATGATGCGCGCGTGTGGGTTTGTGTGTGTTAATGTGTGTGCCTAAAGGAGACACAGTAAGTGAGTAAACTAGTAAATACATGTGAAATTAAGTCAGTTACTATGGAATATATGTGTACTGTTTGCTATTGTGTATAGTAAGTAAGGAGCAATTGAGTCACCTGTGGTCACGTGTAAAGTTACCTTCTTCCATAACCCGCAGGTTACTTACGACATCAAGAATCTCCGATTCAACAGCATCTACCTGCTAGTCATATACCTGGCAGAAGACTACAGGATCAAGGCCGAACTAGTCTTCAAAACGGAACCATGTGAAAAGCCGGACTCCCTACAGCTGACCCGTTGTCTGGACAACATCAGGGAGGAGGAGCTACCGTTGATCCCCATAGTCCACGGGAAGGACCTGCTCCCAGGTAAGGTTCCGCATGTCGCACGACCATCATCATCATGTAGCAGGTCCTTTGCATAACGTCGCTCTCAACACGATCTATATGGAAGAAACTCGGCCTCTCGCCAGCTCTCTCTAGCCTCGTGTACTTTCTTACTCAAGGAGTCACTTATTTCCTCCTGTGCCTATCTTTGTGCTGGTCGGCCCCTGCATCTCCTGCCTGGTACAATGCCTTCTGCTATTTTTTTTTTCAGTTAGCCATGGTGCTTGATATGACCAAAATATGTCAGTTTCCGAGACAAGTTTCTGTTTTTAGCCAATCTTTTTTAATGTTCAGTTCTTTAAAAAGTAAGTTCTTTAAAAGGTCAGTATTTCTTCTCTCCTCTGTCCATTGTTGCAGGATACGACGCCTATTTTTTTATCTGGTAGAGTAAATTTTCATAGTGTGTCATAAACTTTTCGTGGAATGCCATCTATCTTTCATAGTACTTTACTCACTATTCACAGTATTGTCTTCAATTAGAATTTCGTTTGTACTTTGCATGATATTTCATCTCATAGCTTTAGTGTCATAACACCGCGTGTCTTTGGGTCACCATGTGCTGCCTACTGTCTGATCAGACTCCCCCTCCCCCCGCCCCCACCTCACTCCCTTCCCCGTCTCAGTCCTACATCTTTCGGGCAGACACATGGACTTGATGTTGACCTATTAGTGGCCTATCCAGTGGGACATATGTTGTATACATGGCTTTCCTTGCGCGCGTTTCTCCCACTTCCTGCAATATACCGAGCCGTGTAAAACCTCCTTCCTACCCCCCCCCCCCCCACATTATTCCATTTACATTTCACATTATTTCATTCTGTCTGAAAGTATTACATTTGCTTCTCATAATATCTCATAATTAACATGTTCTTGTATTGAAACTCAGAGGGTCAAAGGGCTAAACATAGACCGTAATGACGGAAAAGCACTGGAAGCGCCGCACACAATAGGAATGGCTTAGTTGAACTAATGTATGCAAACTTCGTTGATACTTAAGAGTGGCGGTGGTGGGAAGAGGGGTGAATAATCATACACAGACATGCAAGTAGACAGGCAGGCAGGCAGACAAACATAAAATATCGAACAGACAATGTACTGATCAGCGCTTACTGAAACAAGTTAAAATGAAAACTGAAGGTCACAGTAGACAACACTCAAAATTAAAAATTTAAAATTAAAACGAAATCTAAAGTTTCCGTGCCAGGAATCGAACCTGTCACCTCCAAACGACAACTTTGCAGATACAAGTGTACTAAGATGCATGACCAACTAGGCATACCCCACTAATGGTTTCATTAGCCATGTCTATCCTACAGCTTGAGCTAACAATTATTGAATACGGATATAATTTTCTTCAGAGCTTTGAAGTGACACCGCCAGTTACAGAAATGTATATTAACCAAGCATACGTTGAATAAGAAATACAATAAAAATTATGAACACATACGGGACCACCAGTTGGAGGATGATTTATTGCATAAGACGTTTAAAAAAATATATAAAATGCAGTTCTTCCCTGTTCTAATCTGTTGTTCATCTCTTCTTCTTCTTCTTCTTCCTTCTTCTTCTCCTTCTTCCTTCTTCCTTCTTCCTTCTTCTTCTTCTTCTTCCTCTTCCTCTTCCTCTTCTTCTTCTTCTTCTTCTTCTTCTTCAGCATTCCGAGCCTTTGAGGTTCATTGCTGCAGATATCATCCGCCTCCATACATCTTTCTGGTTGGCCTTCTCTTTCTAGTTGGTAACACCAAGTGTTTGCAGGTCTGTCTGGATGTTATCTCTCCATCGTCTTCTTGGTCTCCCTGTTATATACAGTTTTTACTTCTCTGTCATCTGACATTCTTTCAATATGCCTCAACCATTTCAGTCTATTAGCTCTCATGATGCCAGTGATCAGTGGTGATTTAAACAGATAATGAATTTCGTTGTTGCTTCTCACTCTCCATTCACCGCTGTTTGCATCTTTGATGGGTCCAAAGATTCGTCGTAAGACTCTGTTTTCAAAAACCTGTAATAAGGCTTCATCTCTTTTAGTTATGTGCTCCAAATTTCTGAGCCATATAAAACGACTGGTCTTTTCAACGTTTTATATATATTTTGATCTTGTCTCTCTGAAACATTTTCCAGCTGATGTTTTTTAACAGCCTAGGTACTTATACTTGTACAATTTAATATATATATTGTTTTTTCTGTTCTTTCCCAAATCTCAACTGTGACATTTTTTATTCTGTTATTTTAAATTACGTTGCTTTTACGATCAAACACACATGTTATCCTGAATTTATCTGTTATCAAACGCACAGTCTGTCTGTTCACTTCTTCACAACCTGTTACTATAACCACCCACTCATCCGACCGCCCACATCTGATGTGTCCTCTGGTTCAGTGCATAAACTATTATCTAGTCTAAGTACTCAATGGAGAGAAAAATGAATGGCATTGTGCAATACCACGGAAAAAAGAACCTCTGTCGATGTAATTGTTCCACGACATAACCACACATAATGAATGAAACAACGCGACCGAATTTTTGACATAACAAGCCACTTACGAATTGTTGCAAACGCGACAGCAGCCAATAGTTGGCATAAATGACGTAATATCTGCCCTCTAATGAGACAGTGTGTCAAACGTTTTTTTCCCGTCCCTCTTGTCCTGCTTGCAGACAGATAAGTAATTAGAGTCTGAATATTGAAAAATGTCTAAGAAAACAGATAATTAGAAGTCGGAGAAAACATAATGTAGAAAATTTCGGTTGCTGAGTAAATCTTTAGGATAAGGACGAATATGTGTGTGTCTGTTGTTATAATGCATGTGCTCACTAGGCCCACTGTCGATTCCTCCATTCCGTTCTTTCCTGCGCAATCTTTTCCATACTTGTATCAAAACCATTCAAACTAAAAAGTTATTATAGAGAGGATCGAACTGTATTGCCCTGTGTTTGATCCTATATGGCTCGGTCTCTCAGAACGGCTAGCCGCCTGCCAACAGTCTCGCTGAAAGCACCAACATCTGTGCTCCGGCGACGACCCCCGGGGTGTTGATTAAAAACTATACTAAGAACCGAACGGCACCGCGGTAAAACCAACCGCGACCTTCAGAGCGCGAGGCAAACGGCTTGACCACCTCGCCGGAGACTTGTTCCCCGAACCCCCCCCCCCCCCCCCCCCCCCCCCCGCCCCTCCCTCAAAAAGGATCCATCGTGGCACTGCATGTCTCTCACATCAACGTTTGTTGTGTGGGGGAGGGGAGGGTTTCTGGAAGATTGTCGTTTTTCTCAATCCATTTGCTTACCATATCAGTCAAAATTCTTTTTATAGGGGGGGGGGGGGGTGGGGGGGGGGAGGGTGGGAGTTGGTCACTAAGTCAACCTATTGACCTCCCGTTTCAGTGCCAGTTTTTGGGATTCTTTGTCCAACCCGCCTCAACATGAGCCCGTAATATCCCCATCTTCTTTCCCCGGTAAACCTGGTAATACCAGCAGTTGTGTGTCAATTTCTATGCTATAATGTATGTGTATGTGTGTGTGCGCGCGCGTGCGGGTGTGTGTGTGTGTAATGATAATGTACATACACATCACACAAATACAAACGGTGCTGTTCAGGTTTCCAGGTCCAGGATTAGAGTAACTCTTATTTTCATTAATGCCTACTTAAGTAACTGGACCTCTCCTATGTTACGGGGGAGTCATTTTATCCTTGTGAACGGTTTAGTCATTGGCTTTTTTTCTCCTCCCCTCATCGCTCGCTTGCATGATTATTTTTCACGTTATGCTCCTGAGCGACGGTTCAGGAGTATTCAAACAGCGATATTGCTCTATTCCTACGCTCCTTGTAATTGCTTTCTTTCTCGGGGGGGGGGGGGGGGGGGGGGGGGGGGCACCTCCAACGAACATAGAAATACAAAAACATCCTAATTTCGATAGCCAAAAATCGTCGCGCCTGCGGTGCTTTCCCCAGCAGCACTTCTTACTCATACACAGGTGCCTATGGTGCCTGAAATGGACTCACAAAAACACAACCTCCCTCAAACATTACATACGCCGAGCGAACGCCATACCAATCCATATTATAACAGCCCCGCAATATAGAAGAGGTCCAGTGACCTAAGGGACATAAATGGCAAGGGAAGTTACTCTCATTCTGGGCCTGGGAACAGGACCATATATATATATATATATATTCTAATGCTAGTTTCCATCTACATTTGTCATTCATTATTTCATATTACATTCTCTAACCTCAAACGACCAAGATCTGAGAATGTTATGGCCAACCTTTAATGGACATGCTGATCCATAAAATTAATACTCATACGTCCGTTTTAGGAAGTAATTTTTTGTTATTTGAAGCCCCACTCTGGCTTTTGCCAGGGGCCGCAATATAGGCAGGCCATAAATATGGCCAATTGTCTGAACGCGGTTTCTGGGACCTCTCCACGGCGATCTCATCCACATGGTGGCACTTTGTGTCATCGGGTGTTTATCGCTTGTGTGATGTCCTGGTGGGGTAGAAATTTATTCATTCATTAATGCCGATCCATCGATGGTGTACACTAAAAATATACATCATTTAAAACATTATAAGATTGGACTAAGGGGCTGCGTGGTCTCGAGGTACGGTGTCCGCCTCAAATGCTAGAAGTACCTGGTTCAGGCCCCGGTGAAGGCTTGGATTTTTTTTCAAGTGGACTTATAGTAATTTCCCCTTGGTCTCTGGGTAGTGAGATCGGACGCACGTGTATATTGTTGCGCGCATAACAAATCATTTGGCATTTGGAAATTGAAAAGAGTAGCATAACGGTGCTGCCCGGGTAAAATTTGGAGTTGAAAATCTACCATAAATATTTCAGGATTGTCGCCTGTGCTACGGAGCCCGTGCACTGCGCTGAGCGACTTCGGACTCAGACTTAAGTTAGAAGTAGAAAGGAGCCCTTTTGGTTACTACCCGTATGCGATTATATTGATCCGTTGTTCAGACCTCAAACCTCAAGACTGGACTGCGATATTCTGTTGACACACACATCACTTTAGTGAAAGTAAGCTTCTTCTTCTTCTTCTTCTTCTTCTTCGCGTTCACCAGCTGTACACTCTGGTGGAAAGTTCTGGTTGTTCGTCCACTTCTGAACTGCAGTCCTACTCCAGAACCTGAGTGTTGCGTGTGCATCAGTTTTACAGATCTGATTCACTTGAATGCAGACTGTTGGTTCCTTGCCTCTCAGGCAGATGTACTCCGACTTCAAAGGAAGCTCCCAATTAGTCGACTCTTACGACATGCTTTTGGGTAGGCAGGGGGTCTATTCTTGTTTTTCCCACGATGGGGCCCGGAACCCACACGGGGAAGTAAAAGTAAGCAAAGACACTTTTCCACGCACTTATGTTTACTGCACATATATAGGACTAGACTTATATGTTGTAGACAAATCGGCAATTTGTGAGTGATGTGACGAACGTCAAGTCGGCCGCCTATACTTCCCATGACTTTCCCTGGTACCCATTTTAAGACTGAATCGATCTGTGAGCCACTTTTTTTTTAAGGGGGAAGGGGGGGGGGGTCGGGGAGTCCGGCTGCGTCATCACTTGAACCCGCGACCTTCCGATCCGCAGGCGAGCACTGAGCCTCTACATCATGGCTGCTGCCACACATAGCCTTAACTTTATTTGAACCACACACAAATTAAACACACACACTCACACACATTAAACACACACACACACATTAAACACACACACACACACACACACACACACACACATTAAACACACACACACACACACCATAGATTGTACAGTTTATTCCCTGGCATATTTCGCTGCATCTCGTCAGGTGCATGCTAAACTAACAACTACACAAATGAAGCAAAAAAGCGAGTCCTTTATAACTGAAGTATGAATTCAACAACCATCAAACGAAACTGCCTGTTTTACCAGGGCAGCCACAGTATCAGAATCGCACAGCGATATCTACTAGGCTGGTGGGGGGGGGGGGGGGGAATTAGGGTAGTCGAAAGGAGACTCGCTTTCAAATCCAGCTGCAGCCGACTGCCGGTGATCGAAATCGGGCGGTTTCCGGGGTTCACCCAGCCTCTAGGCAATGGGTACCAGAGTTAACACTCTGGGGCAAATGGAGGAACGTCGCTGTAGCTACGGAGTTGCGTGCGGACGGCGACACAGGCGGACAGTTTCTTATCAGCTGTCTGTGTTGGTGGCAGAGCACTTATTGGATTTATAACCGTGTGCAATGACGCTGATTCACATCTCCCAACTTTACCTTTATGCCAGGCCATAAACTGTTTAATCTATTGTTTGTGTTTTCTTCGTCAAATTTACATCGGGGAAACATAACTTTGATTGAACTTGATTTTGTTTTCAGAGCCCCCGGTTTTACAGCTCGCTCTGAACGTCTCCTGGATGTCGCTACAGCCGCACTCTGACCTGGTTCTGGTGAACATCACCTGGTCGCCGGTGCTGAACGAGTCGACTGACAGCTACAACGTGACCACCTACAAGGAAGACAGGAACCTGCTGGTGTCCCGCCAGGTCACCACCAGCTGTTACATGGTGCTGCACCTTCAGCAGAACACACAGTACAAGATCAAGGTAAGTCAGATGTTGTCAGCCTTTACTGTTGTCACGCGGGAACTCTCGTTTTTTGGACCTTCCGAAGACCATTTATGAACCAATGCTGAAGAAGGATACGATGCTTAAATAAAATAAGATTGTAAGGTTGCATGTATTTCAACTAAAATGATACCGCAGGAAAGCGCATCAGGGATGAAAAATACACCACGCGCAAAAGTAGTAAGCCGGTAGATCTAATACAGACATAAAAGCTCAAATTAGGATTTTATTAACCCCCCCCCCCCCCCCCCCACTAGTAAGAGAGAAAAGAAGAAGATGATGAAGAATAAACTCGACTAAGACTAGTGGCATTTGACATTATTTGAATCAGTAGGGGAAATTCATGTCGGCTCTGTGGCTAAGTCGATGCGAACGCTTCGTAATGCCGGGATGCCGGGTTCGATTCCAGCTGCGGGCCATGCGCCTTGCGTTGGTTTCGACAGTGGTATCAAGAAAGTTCACCGTCCAGAAAGCAATGGGAAACTACTGGACGTAAATTTGCCTAGAAAAACCACACAAAAGCCATTGGTTGGTTCTGCAACGTCCTGTAAAGGATACGCAACGAATCTTAGGGGGGAATCCCCGTGACAAGGTTATTAAACTGTTTGCTTCATGCTCTAAAGGCTGCTGTTTTTAATTTTTGACTCCGTTCTTTGGAATGCCAGTGAAGTTTTTTTCTTCAAATCTCTGTGAATCGTCGTTGGGGTTACGAGTTTAGTGCTTTGTACGACGCTCTCAACGGACGAATTACGGCTTTGCGGAGGGAGATTAAACAATTTGGGACAAAAGTAAAAAAAAAAAAAAAAGTTGCTCCCTTGTAAATACTCGTTGACGTGACACAAGATGCACAACACAAAGTTGGACCATACATGTGAATTTAATCATTAGTGAATGAATACAAATTTAGAGCGGTGCTGTGCTATGATGCAGACATGCAGCCGCATCAGGTGACACCGTAAGGTGGGGGGGGGGCGCATAAGCTGCTCAATATAAGTACAATTTAACATCTTATCTGACAGCGCGAAGCTATTAGCGGCGGCATTTCGAAGTCTTGCATCATACTGATAACAATCTACCGCACAGGACTGAAAATATTCAGTATTTCGGCATTCCCGTATGTGCTTAGAGAGAGAGAGAGAGAGAGAGAGAGAGAGAGAGAGAGAGAGAGAGAGAGAGAGAGAGAGAGAGAGAGAGAGAGAGAGAGAGAGAGAGAGAGAGAGAGAGAGAGAAATCCAACATGCAAACCTTGTGAATAATATCAATATACTATTCGAGAATCTATTCTTCAGTTAAATCCGAAACTAGATGCTAGGCACTAAAACAGTTGTTCTTAACCATCTTCATGCAGCGACAGTTCCCAATGTTGCTGCGACCCTCAACCATAAAATTATTTTCGTTGCTACTTCATAACTTCAGTAAATATGTGTTTTCCGATGGTCTTACCCGACCCTTGTAAAAGGGTTGCGATTCACAGGTTAAGAACCGCTGCATTTAGAGGAAAGCGAGTTTGGGGGTCGGAACTGTGCAAACGCACATTCAACTAACAAGCAAAATGTGCACCACCTACAGGGCGAAATTCGAATTTGAGAATCAAATGCTGAAATATAACCGAAGGAAGTTCATACATGACACGCGCTGACACGGCCCAGCTGTCAGAGTATCTCAACTGGAAAGACAAACTATGCGGCAAAAGATTTAAATCTGGTTAGAAACGTCCAACTTGAGATAACTTCATTTTCGATATAAAAATGGTCAAAGTACAGGTGTTGTGTCTGGATGGTTCTAGTGGCTTGGTGAATGTTCGCTTTCGTCTGCTACCAGGTCTCATAAAGGAGTTAGAATTTGTTTGAGAAAATGCTTCTAAGGCGGGAATGATGCAACTCTTCATAGTTTTACATAATTTGGCGGCCTGCACAATTCTTTTTCTTCTTGTTATTCTTTTCTCTACTCCTGGAATGCCTCGCCGCGTAGAGTAGGAAGAAATCTGGAACGGGTCTTTCTGTTCGCTTCGTATATAGAACTTTTGAGTGTCTGATACTTCTGCGGTCCGTGTTCTGTGTTACCGTTGTATCTGAATAACCTTGCTCTCCTTGCCGCTCTGTCTGGTCTTGCACAATTATCACATTGAATTCAATTTTACAGAGAGAGTTGGATGCAGTTAACGGTCAGCGGCTGAAAAGAGGGAAGTCATAGTTCAGGCAGAGGACACGATCATACAGATGTGTATCCTGGAGAACATGAGGCGAGGAGAGAAGTTGGTCAAAGCGCCAACGGAACAGTCAGATTTGTGAGTCATAATCACACTGAGCCGTGACTGCTGGGAGTAGCCAGTAGGTGCCATGTAGGTGGAAATTCAGCAATTCATGATAATGTTGGCTGGGGAAAGTGACTATTTAAACAGACGGTTCAGTGTAAAGAGGCAAATGAAGTGCCTAAGGGTTCTAAGTAAAAGCTAATGGTCGACGTTTGGTTCACGAGAAACTAGCATATGATAACTTAACATCCATCTTAAGAATGGAGGTGGAGGCGGTCAACGCAGCTTTCCGCTAGCTAGAGAGCATGACACATACACACACACATACATACCATGATTGTAAATGACTCAGAAAGCATAGTGAGGTAGGTGATGATAGGCTTGTTTTGTGTAGAGTGGCATGCTTCGCTTCGGAGGTCACGGGTGAGGAGAATTGTCTGGATCTTGCTCCGGGTAATGTCGGTGTCTGGGGAAATCAACAGGCGGACAGACTAGCTGACTTTGCACAATCTGCGTGATAAGGCAGACGCGATCAAGGCCTTATAGAAGCATGTGCACAATTCAGAGGAGCAAATGGACCACGACAGTCTGGTGAGAGTGATGTAGCGAGGAGTGACGAAGAGCTCTGGCTAACACTCTGCTTTCAGAAGAAAGACAAGACAGAAGTATAACCAGACTGCACTTGGTACCATAGGTATTAGAACTTTTCGCTGGCTGTTGAAGATGGCGAAGGAGCGCTTAGGAAATGCCACGATTCCTGTGATGTCGGTTCCTCAGTCAGCTCAACTCAACTCACCCATTACCCTGAAGGCTGTTTAGGGTGTTTACCATTGCGGCCTAAAGAATCCAGTCGCCTACATGTAGACTGTTGGATGCGTGTTGGTGATAACATTTAGTATGCAAACTGTAAATTTTAAAAGGAAAATGTTTTAAAAAAAAATGACTTGTCTCTGAAGGAATCCCTGTTATTTGACAGGCCAACTGACTCTTTATTTTAACACTAGCCAATCCATGTTACAAAACATCTCATTCATATTGTGAGTAACTTCTGCCTGCAGAACTTTTTTCTCGTGCCTTCCTTCCTCCCAGTGAGGAAAGTAAGGGAAATGTAATATTAAAACAGAAGCTCAAGATCACATTTGAAATCATGGTAATGAGAAAGATTAACTTATAATTTCTTGGTTAATTTTGCAAATCAAAAAATCGCTACGAATTTAACGTTATGCAACAGTTAAACAGGAAAAAATAATCAAAACGCTCAATTCCTTTATATTTCCTAATTAACCGCTGCCTTCGTTTTATTCAGTGCCCCTAACAGTAACCGAAGCTCCAGCCGCCCCCCCCCACCCACTTCCCCCGATCCTGCGCACCTCCCCCTCCATTTGAAAGAGGCCGTTACCACCCACCGGGCGGTCCCAGCGCCTTCCCCCCCCCCCCTCCCGGGGAGTAAGGAGTACTAACTCCCACTTTGGGAAACATTGGTATAGACAATATGGTAGAGACTTATCATCATCGTGTAGGAGGTCCTTTGCAGAACGTCGCCCTCATCACGGTCTGCCTGAAAAAAACTCGGTCTCTCGCCAGCTCCCCCGCCTCATGCACTTTCACACTCAAGGAGTTACTTATATCATGTGCCCATCTTCGTGTCGATCGGCCCCTGCCCCTCCTTCCTGGTACCATGTCTTCTGCTATATAATGTTCCAAACCGTTGTGGCCCTTGAAATGACCAAAATATTTCAGCTTTTGGTGGTAGAGACTGCGACTTCCAAATCAGACATTACAGTCACAGAAGACTCTCTTCCCAAAAGTAGCAGCACAGACCCTGGGGACTGACGGTTGTCTACGAACCTCTAGGTCACAGAACCGCAGAGGAGATTGAAGGAAAACATTCTAAATTCCTTATTATTGTTTTCAGATTCCCCAGACTGTACTCTGCCGATTTCCATTCGATATCCCTCATCAATCCCCCGCCAGTAGCTGCCCAGCGTCCCTCCTGGAGTTCTCTACCATGTTCAGATGATAATCTCTCTCTCTCTCTCTCTCTCTCTCTCTCTCTCTCTGTGGCTTGTTCTTTGCGCATCTGCAAAATCAGTTACCGCTCAAAGCCAGAAAATAAACTCTGTGCTCCGTGCTGATATCAGTGACGCTTCCAACATGCGATGCACTGTAGCGTAATAAAGTACTAGGCAGATAGTGGCGATATCACATCTTTGATCTCAGTGGGGCAACTACAACGCTATTAGAAGCTGTAATGTTAAAACTCCGGAATGTTTTAAATTCACAAGATAAGGGTCGATAAAAGTCTTTAAGTTAAGTAATGAGAAAGATATGGGACCAGAAGCAAGGTGATCTCGTTGTAGAAGGAAAGAAGGTCAAAGGTGAAGGTTGGTATCACCTTGCTGAGTGATTGTGTTCCTTGTGATGTTTTTCTTTGTTCGTCTTCTTTCTTGTCTATTTGATATGTCCACAGTGCTTAAACATATGTCGATAGTGCTTAATAAACATATGTCGATAGTGCTTAAACATATGTCGATAGTGCTTAAACATATGTCGATAGTGCTTAAACATATGTCGATAGTGCTTAAACATATGTCGATAGTGCTTAATAAACATATGTCGATAGTGCTTAAAAATATGTCGATAGTACTTAAACATATGTCGATAGTGCTTAAACATATGTCGATAGTGCTTAAACATATGTCGATAGTGCTTAAACATATGTAGA